GCTTTTAGATGTCTGTCTGATTTTTATGTTTTGTATTGTTTTATGTAATTGTATATTTTATTTGTGTAATAAAATTTTTCTATAAGAGGAAAAAAAAAACAATTCTCAAATATCCCTGGGATCAAATAGAGTCCTTTGTTCCTCAGCTTAGGTATCCCTCTGGTGTGTCCATATATTACAACCTCTGGGAGTAGTAGCTTTTGAGAGAACGATTCATAGAGAAAGTGATATACTTCTAGTTTTAAGTACCACTAGTTCTAGTTTATGACACAAGCACACTCTTCTCGAAAAGAGCCCAGATCTGCAACTTAATCTTCAGAATGTGCTACATCTGACTGGCTCCAGGAAAACTCACAATTGGTAGGTGGGAAAAATTAGGGTTTGCCAAGAACATACAGTACATTAATTTGATCAATCAATAAACAGTGCTTTTTATAAGGATTTTTATGCTAGTTTTATACCTCCCTATTTAGTTAAAGGCCACTCAGATTCAGTTTTTACTACCCAACCAGAATGATATAATCTCTTTAAATGCTGCAAAATCCTGTATTATTGTGTATAGGACAGTTGTTATTGTACCTTGGTTGTATTGTTTTATTGTCAGTGTGTCCTGTGCCTTATTATTTTATTGACAGCTATATTTTTTTACTGCTTTATTTGTTCTATTGTGATTTTTCAGGTTCTTGTAGACCGTAACAAAGAAATTCATTCATTCCAAAGCCATTATCCTATTTTGGAGACACAGATAAAGCTCTGTCAAGGAAGTTTGTATCTTTCAATAATACAAAAAGATGGTGGGGGTGGGAGAGAGATAGGACTTTAGCATTCAAGACTCACTTCACATTTTCTAATGGGTGTTGTGAAAGTTTGGAGTCATTGTGTGTTCTAATGTGGAATGGAAGCTGTGCTCAGATCACTCAACTGACAGGATGCAGGACCAATCAGGATCCTGGTTTACTCTAGAGCAGGCAGATTTTCTTTCAATGGAGAGAGGTGAGAGTGGCTCCCTCACCACCTTCCCTTTCTTTTTTTAGGAATGCTACTTATAGTCCTGTTTCAGTTAAAGGATTCTATATCAGAGAAGCCTTCAAGTGAATCTGAATGTTGCCCCCCCTTTTTTTTGTGCTTTCAAGTCATTGCTGACTCCTGGCAACTGCCTGCACAAGTCCCTGCAGTTTTCTTGGCAAGATTTCAGAAGTGGTTTGCCCTTGCCTCCCTCCTAGGGCTGAGAGAGAATGTCCAAGGTCACCCAGATGGCTTTATGCCTAAAGGAGGACTAGAACTCACCCTCCCAGTTTCTAGCCTGATGCCTTAACCACTACACCAAACTGCCTCATTTAGTCAGTGGTAAATTCTGCTAATTTCCATGCCTCTTATCTCCTAGTGAGTACACTTGAAGCTCCCTTACCTGAGTGGTTTTGCACATGACAGTCAGGGGATTTTGAAGCCAGGTGGACTTGGAAGGTCTGAGCTGGTCATTTGGCTGCACTCCGTCTCCCAGCCGTATGTCCAAATTAGACCTGGTTCCCTGCTGCAACTTCTGGCAAGGCTGAGGACTGTGAGTAAGGTGAGAGGACAAGAGGGGGGTAAAAGAGTCATTAGGTGAGTGGGTCCCATATAAACATACATACATTCATTCTACTGATAAAACAGCAGCAGACCCAAGCACTGAATTTCAGCTTTTTTACATGTAAAAGAAGGACAGGCTGCACTATCACAGCAGCCCTCTTTCTGTAGATGCACTGAAAATGCAACAGCATTCAGAATAAGAGAATAATGAGAAAGGAGAGACATCTTTTTGTGCCAATGCTTAAGGTCTTCAGTTGTACTGCATTTGTTTACTTTTCTGCTCATTCCTTTCTTTGTTGCCCGGTGGAAGTTAAACAATACAGCAACTCTCAGGTTGACCAGAATGATGTACCTTTGCGAGGTAATCAAAAGCTCCTTGGTGATGTTGCATCAGGGCAAAACTACACTCAGGTTAAATAAGGTACATTTAAGCTGCATGTTGATTTTTAAAGGCAAACTATAGCAACTGGGGTGGAGGAGCATTGTTCATTTCAAGGGAACAAAACAGGTGTGTGGAGGAACTGAATCTCTTCTTCCCTTGGTAGACTCCTGAAGAAAATCCCTCTTCTGAAATTAGTAGTTGCTTTGAGGGCTAAGTGGAAGAATTCACAGGCACCAAAGTAAATATCAGCTTTTTTTTTTTTTTTGAACCTTTTGGACCACAGCCTAGGAAGAAAGGACTAATCCCATCCCCACTGCCATGCCCACTCTGATTCCATTAATCAGCCTGTAGCTGATGCATTTTGCATTTTTGCATGTTATGACCGCAAAGATGCATTTAGCTCCACATGTAGTTTGACTCTCATTTGATACGGAACTTTCTGTTTGTATGAAAAATGCATCAATTACAAGCTGTAATCATAAAGGCTAATATTTTAGAAGAAAATGGATAATGTTTTGGTTTTTTAAAGATACCAAATTTGCAGTGTTCTCCTGGACTCCCAGCTTCTACTTGAATGGCAGGTGAAGGCTGTGGCCAGGACAACCTTTGCACAATTACATCTGGTGTGCCAATTGTGTCCTTTCCTGGATCTGGAGGGATGTACAGTCATTTGTTCTTATCACCTCACAGTTGGCCTGCTGCCACTTACTCTACATGGGACTGTGCTTGAAGACCATTCAGACATTAAACTGGTACAACACAGGGCTCCTTGGGCACTTACAGGCATCTCTAAATTTGCCCATATAACACCACTCTTCCAGGAGTTGCCCTGGTTGCCATTAAGCTTATGATTCCAGGTGCTGGTTGCCCTCTTGAAAGCCCTACCTGGCTCAGGGTCTGGATATTTTCAAGACCACCTTTTCTGATGTGACAGCACCCATCCAGAGAGGTCAGGGAGAGAGGCTGGTTGAGGTCTCCCTCCCTGAGGGAATTTCATCAGCAAAAGGCCCACAATCAAGCCTTTTCAGTGAGGTCAGCTTGCTCTTTCATATCTAGACCATGTTTCCCTGCTGTGGTTTCACAAGGCTGTGAAAACCTTCTGGCTCTTTGAGAGAGCATTTGCTCCCAGTGGATGGTAATGTTACTGTTTCTGAAATTATATGGCTGAAATGCCTACTGTTTTAAAGTTTGGATGATTGCACACTGCTCAACAGGAACAGAGCAGCTCAGAAATCCCAATAAATAAACAAGGTCGGTCACTATACTTATGTTCATGCTGTGTAACATCTCATCCACAGCCCTTGCATTTGGCATGGAGTAAGCCATCGATACTGGGCAAAGTACTGCACAGAGGAAGCTACAGCTGCCAAACTCCAGCCTTAAAGAGCATCAGTGCACTCTTAATAGGTGCACAACAAAAGGGAATGTTCTGTCGACACAAACCATCTTGATCAATGCAGCTGAGCTCTGTTCCAAGGTAATGTTTACTAAACTTTTCTCATAAAGGTTCCCTTGGGAAAGAGGCTGGATTGAAAGTATAGAAACGAGTCCTGATTCAATTTTCTCTCAGTTTTGGAGCTCATTGTAGGCCCGGCTGATGGCAATAAAGAATGCTTTTTGGCTGACTTTAGATATTGTGCATTTGCTAATGGAGTCTCGGGGTTCTTAAAGGAGCAACTTAAGGCAAGGTGGCTTTCTTTGTATTACATCAATCAGGGTGCTCTAGAGACAACTCAAGCTAATCAGACTCAATTTATTAACGGTATCACTCCTCTCACCTGAAAGTTACGTGAGACAAATGATTTACATGCAGTATTCTTAATTCCCGGAATTTCCTCTATGAAGTCATTATGTTGTAACACTGAAGTCAGGAACAGATCATTCGATGCCTGGAATCAAGTGCTGGGAAGAAATTACAGAAGTGCAGAAAATTGAAACATCAGAGAAAGAAATATTGAAGCCCAAGCAGATCAGGGCTTCCAGATGATTCTTCACAAATTTTGGATG